ATGGGGAAATCTATATAGATAGAAAACATCCAGACATCTACACTGAATACTTTACAGCTCTTCTGTGTAACATTTCAGTGTTCAATATCACTCAGCAATTGTTTCTTACCTTTATAAGATATCAGGTGGTGTTGCAAGCCGGACTGCAGCATACAAGCATCAGTCTCTGACAGAATTCCTATACATATCAATGGGAACTGCATGCCTGAGAGGTACATCTACTGACTTGCAACTGAATTCTGTACACAGAGCAGTACACAGCCCTAAAATAATTAGGGACAAGAGCTAATTAACCCTTTCCCCCTGAGAACAATGAAATGGGATGTGTCATTTTTTCTCTCCCAAAACACACATTTTCAGTTTAGTCAACATATTTTGGTTTTTAGATTATATTGGTTCTATATGTGAAAGAAAATGTTTCCAGCAGCAAAATGAGACAGGAAAAAAACAGAGAGGGAGAAGCACCAAAACTTCACATTTAAAAAAAAACAAAAACGCCAAAAGATAGAATATTGAATTTTAAAAAGAAAATCAAATTTGATTACAACAAACATTTTTCTTCAGTTCTAATAGAGATACAAGGGCAGTAGCTGTTACATGACATATTTTTTCATCTGTCCGTTCATTTATTGAGGGTAAGATTATCAAAAAGTGCTGAAAGGAGTTGAAACACCCAACTACCCTTGAAAGTTCCAACCCTACTGTATATTCTTGAATTTTTAATCTATTTAACACAGTTAAAATAGAGCCAGGCAGTGCTTAAAGATGCTAGTCATAGGAAGAGCGAGGCCAAATAAAAATTAAGATAAATTCTTTTTGAGGGAGTCATGTATATCCTTGACCAAGGGCATCTCCCACACAGAGCAAGTGAGTGTACTCTGCATTTGCAGACAACAGCGAGAATGCAACATTTATGCCCTATGTGCAAAGTACACGTGTGCAAGAGGGCTTTTTTCACACACTTAGTCAGCCAACCTCCCCCCAAAGGTTGCAAGTCAACAGAGCTTTTAAGCATATGCTTACTCTTAAAATCCCAGAGAAGACATAGGGCTATGTTTTCTACCTAAATTTAAGCATATGCTTAAAAGAGTTTTGCTGCACTGGGGACATAATGCCATATGTGAAACACTCAGCAAAGTCATGGCAGATTTGCGTGCAGCTCAGTGGTAAATCTGAGTCCTTTACATTAGTGGTGCCAAATTTCTGAATTCAGCCTGCTTGAAGTATTCATCAGTTCCCCTATAGAGTCTGACCCTAGAGTCCAAACTTCCATTAAATAAATACCCACACATACCCACACAAAACAGGATGTTCCTCATGCTAATGCTTGCAAAACCTGCCTTTCAAACATTGAACCCAATGTAACTAGTGCGGAATGATTTTCCTGCATTTGCAACCAACCTGAAAAAACACGTCTAAGAGAAGCAAACCACCCCATTCCACCCAACGAAGTACTGTTGATATAGATGACAAAGCTCCAAGAGACATAATCCAACATTTGGATGCACAACTATGTTTCTGTTTGCACACTTAAGACAACCGTATACACTAAATAAGAGAAATAAAATTCCAAGCAATCAGTTGACCTAAAAAGTGTCCTTTCTTATTTTTCTCCTCTATTCAGTGATATTAAATACAACAGTGGCTTTACTAATTGAAAATTCAGTTCCACATAAGGCTGCATCCTCCCATCAATCTCTGGAAAACATTCCAGTTTCAGCAGTCTCTATGCACCAAGGCCCTATTTTCCCAGACCTGCCCTCCAGATTATAATTAAAAATTATATTTGGCCTTCTTAGCAAAGCAAGTAATAATACCTCTGCAATAAATACTGTCCACTCGAGTACAGTAGCAACATGATAACATATAAATAAACAGAAGACTTTCCCAAGCTGATTCCTCTTGAACTTAACACTTGTGTTTCATGATGTAACCTTTCAATACTTTGTCTTCTCTCTGATACACAGCATTGTCTAGATTTGTATGTCCACATGCCTTAGTTAACCTTAAACATAACTGAAGTCTTATAAAGGTCTGTTTGCAAGGCTGGTAACTGAAATAGAAACTGCAGTTTCTTCTAAGTAATATGATAAGAGCACAAGACCTAATCATATCACTTTTGTTCACGGAAAAATCTCAAATTGCAGCTAATGGAATTTTTGCCTGAGCAGACAATGTCGTTTTGGTCCTTTCACTGAATAGCAAAAGTATGTATATCATTGATCATATTTTGAAATTAAATTTATTTATAGATTTGTATCATATGCTCATCGCTCTATCTGGGCACAGGTTCATATATTAAAATAACATACATAATTTGTCTACAAATCATAATTGAAGACCATTTTTGCCCCAGGGATACTGATCTTTACAAATCCCCCTACTACGCCCTCAAGCAAAGGCCTGAGTAAATAGATAACAGAAATTACTAAAGGAAAAATGAAGCTGATACCGACATCAATGGGAGTTTCACAGAGAGCGAGCAAGCAGAGTAAAATATGGGACACGGTTTGTAACAAAAGAAGAATTGCTTGAATGCTGGAGACTCAAGAGGTTAAGAGCATTCAAATTATCCATTAGAAATATCTTCTTAATTTAAGCTGGTGTAATACAAACACTATGTACACTATTTTCACACACTTCTTCTCCAGTAGATAATGTATTGAATTAAAGAATTTGCAAAAAAATATATATATCCATAATACACATTCAAATACCAAGTAATTCACACTGCCATCAAATAAAGTCTGCATACTGCTCTTGATCTCCCTGTCAAACTCCAATGGATGACAATAGAAATTTGGTGAAGAAATCTACCCCTGTACATGGCCTATGTCATCCCACTGCACTACGTTCCAGGAAGTTAGCCAAAAAAAAAAGGCCACCAAAACCAGTAACAGTTAAGGAAAAAGAGATAAAAAGAGGATAATTGTTTCTAAAAGCGTCTGAAAACCTGCAGCCTTTGTGTGTGTTTGCATACATGTAACCTGTGTGTTTTAAATAAAATATCACATATGCATACAAAACACACACACAAACACATTGACTCAAAAGCTCCTCATCTTGCAAATCTTCATTCATTTACGAGTACTGCTACCGTCAACTGAAATAGCTATGTAAGCTAAGCCAGGGCTTGTGGAAGGCCCAGTATCACAGAGATTTCCATAGGAGTTTTAAACATGCAAGCAATGCTGGATTCATAAATACCTAACTTGCTAACAAAGAGGCCAGAATCCAAGAGCCTGACTGCAAAGTGCTGAGCACCGCAACCCCAATCCAGCAAAGCACTTAAGTAGGTGCTTAACTTTAAGCATGGGCCTATTCAAATGCTTAGATGGGAAAAACTATTGATCTCGGTGAATCTTTGCCTCAAATAAATCTAGGCTTCCTTAACTCCTTTGTACATGTTGTAGGACATTTGAGTTACATCACATTAACACCAGCAGGCCACATAAATAAATATGTTATAAACTGCACAAACAACTCATTAATAAAACACAACAAAAAAGCAAATAACCCTCCCCACAAAAAAAACCAAACTTGGCAGCAACAATTTCTACAAATGATGCCCATTTGCTGAAATACTTCCTATAAAATAACTAACTCAACAATAAAACAGCAGCACAAACCAGAACCGTTAATAGCAATTAGTATCCTTTATAAAGAGCATCAGCCTGGTTAAATAAAAATATGTAATAAATAGATCTCCCATCATTTCATACATATTAATGCAAAATGGAGCCAAAAGTCCCAATCGCACAATATCCAAAGTAAAACAAATTAAAAAAACAGTTACACATAGCCCATGAGTTTAAAAAAACCTCCCCTGTATTTAATAAAGCATGATTTTTAAAAAAAGAACATTAACAGACTTCTTGCAGTTACTTAATCTATCTTAGTGTATAAGACCATCTGTGTTTAAAGTGAATTATTGCTTAATATAGATGCTGCTGGGGCTATAAGCTTAGTTTGTGAACAAAATATGAAACCACCACTGCACATTACAAATCATACAACTGTAAAGAATTTTGATTTTTCCCTTAATCCAAACTGATAAATAATCAAGACTGAAAATCGTGGGGAAATAAATGTCTGCATCTGAAAGCAAAATTCTGGTGTCCTACTCAAAAAAGAGAGAGAAAAAAAATCAAAATCATATCTAGTTCATAAATGGAGGACATTTATATTCCATTACCCCACCCTCTTGAAAAGCATTTAAATTATGTGGCTTGTCAAACCTAGACCCACACTTGTGCCTTTTTTTCAAATCAAAGTCCTACTAAAATCAGTGGGGCTTCTCCCTTAACAAGGACTGCAGAATGACGATGCTGTAATAATGCACATTTATAATACTATATCTGTAACTTTACAGGGTTATAGAGGGTTTTTTTTGTCAGGAAATCTTAATATGTATCTAGTGCAAAGCAAAATATTTTTTTCCCCTCAAGAGAATTTCAAACGTACCCAGTGCTATAAAACAACAGCCTTTCTATCAGCTCTGAAAAAAAGGGATTGGAATTACTTTAATTTCTGGTGGCACATTCAGCTTACGTTGTCTCTCAAACCACCAAATTAGAAAGGCAGGATTACTTATGGAAAATTAATTCAGCTAATTAAAATGGATCAGTCCTAACCCATGTATGTACAGGTTTTTGACACTCAGAATACATTTTTGTATATGCATAAAAAAGAGCAGTTTTGGACATGTTTTGACTCTTAGCGCACAGACCCAGAATTAACTAATATCTTTAACAATTTGGTTTGTTTCCAATTCTGTAATTTAATTTACAGATGAGCATAAAATTTGCACTCTATCAATTAAGTCTGAAACCAAAAAAAAGGATGAAATGACCAACAACATCTATCTGCACTGGCAACAGGGAAAGCAAAATAGATACACAATCCCCGCATCGTGGATGCTTGCTTTCAGGGCTATCTTGCTCAAGAGAATCCATTTAAAATGGTTCAAAACATCAAATGAAACACAAGTTATCTAAACATCAGATTTTCTAATTTTATTAAAAACTCACAAATTTTATCCAACATGTTTTCTTTCATACAGTGAATGGTCTAATATGCACTGGAGGTCACACAAGCTTAGGTTTATTAGAACAATAAAAGACATATGAGAAATTTAATATATAAAGAAAAAAGTAGCAGCTGTTGACTGCATATTTGACCATAAAATTTAAATATTTTGGACTTTTCTTTTAAAGACACAAAAATAAAACCTGTGTGGGTCTATATAAGTCATATTAACAATTCCATGAATGTTCAACAGGACTAAAAATTAGCAAAAGATGTTTGTTTGTTTGTTTGTTTGTTTGTTTTTAACCTTGTAACACTTTTTTAAAACACTTTCTCAGGTTGCTGGTGCAAAGCACCTTACAGTATTTGTGCTATATAATTACTTTATTTGGCAACTGTCTAGGTTTCATGGGTTTTTGTCTTTGCCTTCTGTAAACAACACCTTTTACAAACTAGCACAGTGAACCACAAGCCCTGCAATCTGTCATATAACATCTACAGAAAAGAAAATGAACTATTTTGGTTGGTTGCTCAAAATATTTTGCTTTTGAACAAGAGGTTCTAAAACAGGATTTATTAGTAAAACATTGAGCTCCTGAATTTAACATTATACGTAAACAGTTGACTGTTTTTAGTTCAATAGAGTCTTTTTGTTTAGCTTTTTTTTTTGTGAAGGTAGAATACTTTTTTTTTCTGTTTGTTTCAAGTCATTTTAGTTAGAGGTCTGGTTGGTGACCTTTGTTATTATGAGGATTTTTTGTATGTGTAGCTTTGTGAAGGTAGAAGAGTTGATGCTGAGGGCTTACATTTAGTATTTGTTATTTTGGAGAGGAAAAAAAGGGGAAAAAAATTGTCCCACCTGATATTCAGCAGGCTGACATTTCTGAAGCTAAAAAGAGTTTGTTGTAGTTGAACTTTCTGAGAGACAAAAATTAACAAACAAATTCATAATGCCAGAACCATCCTTAAGCAGGAACGCTAGAGTTCTTGAAGCTTTTTCCCCCCTTTCTTTGACCTTTCTTTTGTTCAATTTTTTTTTTTTGTTTTAATGAAAAGTTTCTAAGGATTGTGGCTCTTAGGGTGACATCCAACAGGGTACTCAACTTACGCCATCCTATGGTATGGCAGCACTTTACTGTACAGCTTCACCAGTTTCTTTGTCAATGGTACAAAAAAGTCCCTTTTTTGTTTGTTACAACCATATTATGAAGATTGTCCTGGTCTATAGCAAAGCTCGCCTTGGAGTATTTCAGATTCAGTTCGTTCCCAAGGTAAAACTGTCTTAGGGCAGGAGAGATGTTATATTTATTCATTTCTGTACACCATAACATAAGCAGACTAGATGATCATCACTTACTTAGACCCAGTTTGTTTTAAAGCTACCACACAGCCGCTTCATTCATTTCTGGTGGATGTGACAAGTGATTGCCATAGTTAGCACCACCGTTGACAGATATTGAAGAAAATGGAGGACTTGGACCAAAAACTTCTGCAGACATGGAGTGCAAAGAACCTGGCAGGTTGGGCTCGGGGCTGGGTGAGTCTCCTGGCGGGTGCGACATTATGTCAGTGAAGCGCTGAGCCTCACTGGAGGGGTGATGTCCAGGGAGTGGGTGATCCATTCCACCCAGAGGAGTTCCTGATGGCCCGGAAGAGGGCACAAAAGGGAGATCAACTGGTGTCTGCGCTTGAGAAGAAGGAGGTCCTTGTGGGAAGAAATCATAATTGCTTCCTGGGCCATAATACTCGCTCTGATAATCTAGCAGACAAAGAGACAGAGAGAGAGAGAGGGAGAATAACGCAAGTGCCAGCCAAGTGTGAAACAATAAAAGAAGCCGGGGCAATTCACCAGCCATGTCCTAAGGGCAAACCGGGTGCCTTGACAAGCTGATCCAAAGCTCACCGAAGTCAACAGGAGCCTTTCCACCAAGCTCACTGGGCTTCGGAGCAGGCCCTGAGACGGGAACACAAATGCCACACATATGCACCGAACAAAGAGCCAGGGACAGGCTTTCCAAAGAGCTCTGCTCCCCCCTAGGCAGGAGCTGGATTCGCCAAACGTCTGCGTCCCGCGGGAGAACAGCGGTGCCCCCTGGCCCAGCCACTTTGCTTGGATGCTCGGCCAGTTACCGAACACTTTGCAAAACGTGCCCCAAACGTGCGGTTTGGCACCGGGCGGCTGGAAAGGAGCAGGCCCTCGCACCGCAGGGAACAAGCTGGCAGTAAGGGAAGGGAAACCGAGGCAGCTGCCATTCTCCCAGGACACTGGCAAAGTCCTGGCTATTCGCTGTTCTTTTCAAACCCCAACATCTCCCCAAAGGAGCTCCCGCCTCTGCCTTTCCCCAGACGGAGTCATAAGTTCAACCGCAGGGAAAGAAAAGAACCACCCGGGGCCTTTCAAAGTCGGTTCTGCCTGGCTGGCGCCGGAGAGGTCCCCGCCCAGGCTCCCCGGAGCGGTGTCGGGGGCAGCGCCCAGGGCTTGTCCCTCCCCACGGGACTGCGTCGCGGCTCTGCCGCCCCGCGGGGCTTTCCCCAATGCCTGCGGGAAGGAGACGGGACAGCGGGGAGAGGCGGGTGGCCCCGCTCCCGGGAGCCTTTGTGCCAACCCAGCCGCCCGAGCAGCCCGACCGAAGGCTCCTCCGAGGCCGGGCACGGGAGCGCTCCGGGCCCGAGGCAGGAGCTCGCGTCCGGGGCGCAGCGCGACCCACCTCCGTAGAAAGAGAAGGGCCCGTTGGGGATGAGCTCCCCGGGCTCGAGCCGGTCCACGAGCGGCCGCATCCTGCGCGGGC